TGAGACCTCAGAGTTTATTAGGCCAAGAATACAATTTTTCAGACGAGCTGTCTCAATGTAAAAACATACTTCCTTATTAGTACCCTGCCATGAAAATCTCACAGTTCGTATAGTGTTCTTTTTTTTTTAACCTATGAGCTAGATAACACGATTTCACACACATGTTGCTCGCAGAGAGTTGTCACAATCGGTGTTTCCATTGAAGCGGTCATCCGCAGCTGAAGAAGACTCGGGTCAGGAGGCCATTGGTTTCTTGAAACGGAGGGCCAGCCGTGCGACATGCTCGTGCTGCACAAAAGACAAAACAATCTTTAGCGCCCTACATTTAAAAAGATACGCGAAACGATCTCACGCCAAATATATTTTTTAGGCCAGGCTCGCAGAATTGTGGAATGCCTTTTTCCCCCCTATTATAGTTTGATCGCACACCTCAATTTCAAAATGAACCTTGTCATCTCCTTTCCCGAGGCAGTATTCCATCATTTCGCGGCGGACGCGCTTTAGAGCTCAATTATAGAGTATACACTTTATAGTGAAAGCTTTCTTTGCCGAGCATAGACCTATCAAGAAGCAGTTGGATGAAATATCGGTATTCGACGCGGGTCTTGCTCGCGCTCTGGTGAGCCTTCAAACGACCAGCCGCTCCGCCGAGCGCGCGCCGCACGAGATGAATGAATTAAATTAATCTCGCGCGCATAGCGAACGTTCCTTTTACCCGAGGGAGCGCTTCAGAACAAAAAAGCAAATTGTGGTAGCAAATGATGAAGCGGTGAGCAATATCGAACACGAAAATGACTGCTTTCGTGCGGGAAGTCGCGTCAGTGCCCGTACAGTAATCCATCGACTCGATCCGAGGTAAACTACAGTCGTCGGGTCTTCTACGGAACGCGTGCTCACGTTTGACACCAACATCGCGTCTCGGAAACGAAAATTCAGCCTCGGAGGGCCGAACACAGGTTCGGAAATTAGAATTGGCCGCCATGACCATGCCCACGGTGAAAGCGTCGTAGCTTCGCGAAAGCTTTTATTTCACACGTTCAAAGTGGTGTCCATAGAGTCTAGAAAGAACAAGGAACACATCGGTGCCAGCGGTGATGAGATACGACCAGTATTAATGAAGGGAGATCAACGAGAATGCTTCCCTTAATAAATAGTTCAAAATAAAATTGAGTGCCTCCTGGCGGAGGGCAGACACACTAGCCGAGGCGAGTGGTGTGTCTGCCCTCCACCAGGCAGCGCGATCCACCTTCCCGACGTTTTTGTGGCTAGGTGGCGTAAGCTACCGCCGGATCCAAAGGGCTCAGCCGTATTTATCTATCCATCCATCCGCCGTTACCAAGTTGCGCGCGCACACGCTTCTTAGTAACCCGTGGCAACGGTTACTTTTTTTTCCTTCTCTTTGTTTGTCCCCCCGGTTTCTTTCTTTGGCCCGCTAATTGCTCGTTTGTTCTTTTGTCTTTCTCTTTGTTTCTTTCTCTCTCCTCCTCGCTCATCCTCCTCCGCTTTCCTTTGTTCCGAGAGGCCGGCCCCAGTGTGGTTTCGGTTGTGCTTCGGAGCAGTCGCGTAGTCACCCGTGTCCAGCTCCTGCTTTGTTCTTTGTTCCGAAATCGGTCTTCTTCTTCTTCGGACCCCGAACGTCGCCTCACGGTTCCTGCGTTCGTCAAAGGGCCTCCTTTCGTTCGACACATTGGGGATACTATCCTTTAATTCGAGTTTTTTATTCCGATTATTTGCCAAAAGAAAGTGGTTTAGGTTTTTCAGCAAAAAAAGAATAATAATTCCGTTTAAATTCAAAATAATTTGTACGCCTATTGGACAATTTCTTTAGCTTTCGGAAAGTGCTCAAAGTGTCAGTCTATAAATGCGAATAAATAATAGCTCCCCACTGCTGCTCCAGAAACGAAGTATATTTTTTCTGCAACTGTTCTTTCCTCCGTGCGACGTCGTGTGTTGCCGTCCCCACGTCGCTGCAGATATGGCGCTTTCTAAACTGAAACGCGTCGACATTCCTGCTCTTGTTTAAATCATACGCTGCTATAAAAATCCCTCTCTAACTCAATGACTGCTTGGCCGTGAGGGAAAGCGCGCCCTTGAGTATTAATTAGGCGCGTACAGAAGCTTATTTAATCGCAAACTAAGGCGCTAATTGTTCCCTACCTCTCGTCCGAAGCAGGGACTTGTAGCACGAATTGGTGATTTTTTGTGATTTTTTGAAGGAGCAGGGGAGGCACGTTTAGAGCGAAATTCATGCATTGGCCGTGTGGGAAAGCGCGACTTTGAGTATTAATTAGGCGCGTACAGAAGCTTATTTAATCGTAAAATAAGGCGCTAATTGTTCGCTAACTCTCGCCCGAAGCAGGGACTTGTAGCACGAATTGGTGATTTTTTGTGATTTTTTGAAGCAGCAGGGGAGGCACGTTTAGAGCGAAATTCATGCATTGGCCGTGTGGGAAAGCGCGACTTTGAGTATTAATTAGGCGCGTACAGAAGCTTATTTAATCGCAAACTAAGGCGCTAATTGTTCCCTACCTCTCGCCCGAAGCAGGGACTTGTAGCACGAATTGGTGATTTTTTGTGATTTTTTGAAGGAGCAGGGGAGGCACGTTTAGAGCGAAATTCATGCATTGGCCGTGTGGGAAAGCGCGACTTTGAGTATTAATTAGGCGCGTGCAGAAGCTTATTTAATCGTAAAATAAGGCGCTAATTGTTCGCTAACTCTCGCCCGAAGCAGGGACTTGTAGCACGAATTGGTGATTTTTTGTGATTTTTTGAAGCAGCAGGGGAGGCACGTTTAGAGCGAAATTCATGCATTGGCCGTGTGGGAAAGCGCGACTTTGAGTATTAATTAGGCGCGTGCAGAAGCTTATTTAATCGTAAAATAAGGCGCTAATTGTTCGCTAACTCTCGCCCGAAGCAGGGACTTGTAGCACGAATTGGTGATTTTTTGAAGCAGCAGGGGAGGCACGTTTAGAGCGAAATTCATGCATTGGCCGTGTGGGAAAGCGCGACTTTGAGTATTAATTAGGCGCGTGCAGAAGCTTATTTAATCGTAAAATAAGGCGCTAATTGTTCGCTAACTCTCGCCCGAAGCAGGGACTTGTAGCACGAATTGGTGATTTTTTGTGATTTTTTGAAGGAGCAGGGGAGGCACGTTTAGAGCGAAATTCATGCATTGCCCGTGTGGGAAAGCGCGACTTTGAGTATTAATTAGGCGCGTGCAGAAGCTTATTTAATCGTAAAATAAGGCGCTAATTGTTCGCTAACTCTCGCCCGAAGCAGGGACTTGTAGCACGAATTGGTGATTTTTTGTGATTTTTTGAAGCAGCAGGGGAGGCACGTTTAGAGCGAAATTCATGCATTGGCCGTGTGGGAAAGCGCGACTTTGAGTATTAATTAGGCGCGTACAGAAGCTTATTTAATCGTAAAATAAGGCGCTAATTGTTCGCTAACTCTCGCCCGAAGCAGGGACTTGTAGCACGAATTGGTGATTTTTTGTGATTTTTTGAAGCAGCAGGGGAGGCACGTTTAGAGCGAAATTCATGCATTGGCCGTGTGGGAAAGCGCGACTTTGAGTATTAATTATGCGCGTGCAGAAGCTTATTTAATCGTAAAATAAGGCGCTAATTGTTCGCTAACTCTCGCCCGAAGCAGGGACTTGTAGCACGAATTGGTGATTTTTTGTGATTTTTTGAAGCAGCAGGGGAGGCACGTTTAGAGCGAAATTCATGCATTGGCCGTGTGGGAAAGCGCGACTTTGAGTATTAATTAGGCGCGTGCAGAAGCTTATTTAATCGTAAAATAAGGCGCTAATTGTTCGCTAACTCTCGCCCGAAGCAGGGACTTGTAGCGCAAATTGGTGATTTTTTGTGATTTTTTGAAGGAGCAGGGGAGGCACGTTTAGAGCGAAATTCATGCATTGGCCGTGTGGGAAAGCGCGACTTTGAGTATTAATTAGGCGCGTACAGAAGCTTATTTAATCGTAAAATAAGGCGCTAATTGTTCGCTAACTCTCGCCCGAAGCAGGGACTTGTAGCACGAATTGGTGATTTTTTGTGATTTTTTGAAGCAGCAGGGGAGGCACGTTTAGAGCGAAATTCATGCATTGGCCGTGTGGGAAAGCGCGACTTTGAGTATTAATTAGGCGCGTGCAGAAGCTTATTTAATCGTAAAATAAGGCGCTAATTGTTCGCTAACTCTCGCCCGAAGCAGGGACTTGTAGCACGAATTGGTGATTTTTTGTGATTTTTTGAAGCAGCAGGGGAGGCACGTTTAGAGCGAAATTCATGCATTGGCCGTGTGGGAAAGCGCGACTTTGAGTATTAATTAGGCGCGTGCAGAAGCTTATTTAATCGTAAAATAAGGCGCTAATTGTTCGCTAACTCTCGCCCGAAGCAGGGACTTGTAGCACGAATTGGTGATTTTTTGTGATTTTTTGAAGGAGCAGGGGAGGCACGTTTAGAGCGAAATTCATGCATTGGCCGTGTGGGAAAGCGCGACTTTGAGTATTAATTAGGCGCGTGCAGAAGCTTATTTAATCGTAAAATAAGGCGCTAATTGTTCGCTAACTCTCGCCCGAAGCAGGGACTTGTAGCACGAATTGGTGATTTTTTGTGATTTTTTGAAGGAGCAGGGGAGGCACGTTTAGAGCGAAATTCATGCATTGGCCGTGTGGGAAAGCGCGACTTTGAGTATTAATTAGGCGCGTGCAGAAGCTTATTTAATCGCAAACTAAGGCTCTTAATGTTCGCTACCTCTCGTCCGAGGCACGCACTTCTAGCACGAATTGGTGATTTTTTAGGATTTTTTGAGGGAACGTTGTCTAACCTGGAAGGCAGATAGTAAACAAACGGGCGCGACGGGATTTCTAGATCGAATTAAACGCACATAGCAGTTATTCATTCGTTGTTCCACGCAAGAAATGCGTGTACATGACGCTGGGAATAAGAGAAATTTTAGAAGCGAATACTTTTTTTTTTAATCAATATTTGTTACGCGAAGAGATTTCGAAGCGCGGCCGAGCGCTTTATAGTCCGGACTCCTATTCAAACCACGAGAGAGAGAGATAGAAGCATTCTCAAATACCTTTCCTTGCATGGTGTCTAGCGGTCCAGATGTTATCCAAAGTCCAGAGTAATCCAAAGTTCACCAGGAAAGTGCACACACACACACACGTTCACGGAAGCGTCCACGTTGAGACGGGGCACGGCCGTTTTGAAATCACCCGAGACTGGGGTAGAAGCATCAAATCGTAGAAGGGACAGAAAATAGACATTTTCTGTCCCTTCTACTATTTCAAGCTTCTTCTCTACCCCAGTCTCGGGCTATTTCAACGTTGTTAACATTCACCAGCTCGCCCGCGCACCCTCTTCTCTTGACTCGCAACGAAGCGCACACACAGACGTGGATTTGGGCGGCCGTTTGTGAAGTTGGGCGACTGAGGTAGGGACTAGCGGCAGAGAGAGGATTTCTGGAATAGAAAAGAAAAGTGTTGTCATTTCAACAAAGGGTACAATAGATATTTTTGTTTTTAGATTCGGTCGGTTTTAATTAAAGAGTTGTAATTCTAGGCTCTAGTTGAAAAAGGTCGACACAGAACGTAATAGCACCCTGGGTACCGTTACGACGTGCGTCGACATTTTTGCGCGGGTTTTGACCGTTAGGGGTTTGGAGAAGGTATCATCATCATGATCCAGGGTTTCGGTTTGGGTTCTGTGTGTTTTCTCACTCCAGGTCACGTGATGTTTTTGTCGGAGCAAGGATGAGTCACCCTCGCCTCAACGGCGCCTGGCTGTTGCTGTGCGTGTTCTGTCTGGGCCCGGGCTCACTTTCAGAAGGAGCCGAGAACGGAAGAAGGTCGGATTACCGTAACTCGAGAAGGTATTTGCTCATTTCCTTGTTCTTTGCCCAAAGTCGTTGTTTGTGTGAGCGCGTGCGTTTTGCGAGGAGATTATGTTGTGCTCGGCGGTTGGTAGATGGAAATGTTGTTCTCGGAGAGATTCTGCACGCTTTTTCGAGTGTCGGCAAAGAAGGCTTTTAATGGGATCTACTATATTGATATAGGCGCACATAGGCGGAGCGGCTGGTCGTTTTTTTGAAGGCTCTTTACCAGAGCGCGAGCAAGAATTACCTATGCGTGTTTGATGCAAGTTCTTTTTTTGATAGGTCCATGCTCGGCAAAGATATAAAGTGTATTTTGAAGCGCGTATTCCATCGCGAAATGATGGAATACCAGTGATGTGATAATTGCGCCAAACTGCACCAAGGGGCTAACCTTGCTACATCCTGCTACATTTCACCGAAATATGGCTAATCTGCGCCAAAGAAGCAATTTTGGTCGCCTTTCAATAACGAAACTAAACTGAGAACCGTAATTGTGTAAGCTAGGTCGCACAAGACGCCACCCGACACAAAGTACCCTGTATCAATCGTCTATTTGGTCTTGCATGATTTTTCCCGACGTCTCGCGTTTCGTGTACTCGTCGTCTCAAAAATCTCGTCTCTAGTGTATCGGATGCCAAACATGCCGTCATGCTGTGAAACAAAACCACGTTTTTGCGCGGTGGGAGTTACTTTTTGAGCTTCGTGCGACGTCGTGTGTTGCCGTCCCCACGTCGCTGCAGATATTTCTAAACTGAAACGCGTCGACATTCTTGTTTAAATCATACGCTGCTATAAAAATCCCTCTCTAACTCAATGACTGCTTGGCCAAGTTTTGATTACTTAGGTTTTCCTGGTGGGCTTTCTTTCGAGGGGGACCCCGGTACGTGAAAAATGTGCCGCGAAAGAAAGTTGGTGAAGAGAAGTGAGCTAAAGCAAAGAAGGCAATGTCTGAACCCGCACAGCGTGCATGGGCGACCGTTGGAGCCGACTTCTTGCACGAATTCTTTTGTTCTTTTCACGCGAAACACGGAATCGAGTTTTTTTCCCCTCATTCCTGCTTGTAGGTTTCACTGACGATGTTTCCCGGATGGGAGACGAAACGTTTGATTAAATTGTTAATCTTGTTGAGTAAAGTCGGACCAGTTTTTTTTTTATCAAACACGGAATTGGCGGCGGCGCGGAGCTAGGAAGCCGGCCTCTACGAACTCAAACGTTTCATCACTCTCTGACGCACGGAAGAAAAGAAAAAAAGATATGTGTATGGCGTAAGAACGTTCGGTGCATCTTTAATGTAGGGCGCTAAAGATTGTCTTTTTGTGCAGCGCAAGAGCGAGTTGCACGGCTGGCCCTCCGTTTCAAGTGACCTCCTTCAGCTGCGGATGACCTGTGCTTAATCAAGACCGCTTGAATGGCAACTGAGAACTTGCTCCAAGCAAAAAGTGTTTTTATGAAATCGTGTTAGCTCGTGCGAATTCACTGAATAGGAACAAGTGTGCTTTCATCGAGACAGCTCGTCCGGAAACTTGCATTGTCGGCCTAATAAAGTTTGACGTCAAGCCTAATAAAACGTGAGGTTAAAACGGAGAAATCTGTTGTTTTGTATTTTGCTTGTGAGGACGAAGCCCCTGCTGTGCACACCTGCGGAAACGAAGTAAGTACCTTATCAGTTTGTTCAGAGATTTGATTTTTTCCCGTGGTAATCGTGAAAAAAAAAAAGAGCGAGGACATAAATTCTTCTTTCTTATGTTTGAGCTTATTGCAAGACGCTATGAGCGGCGTTCTATTATATCTATACATAGCCTTTGAACTTGTGTTTTTTCTTCTTTCTTTTTGTGATCTCCAGTGTACCAGATTTGTCGGTTTACTGTTATTTTTTTTGTTCCTTCTCGTCGCACCCTGCTTGGGGATTGGAAATGGCCTGCAGTGTAAATGAATAGAAACCAAATATAAAAAAAGAATTTAAATACTTCCCGACGCCATAGGGTCTTGATCTGCTTACAAATGCATTTAAATACTCTTTTCCCAGAACCATAACAGAATGAAACAGCCTACCTCATCGCAGATTTATATCTGACAATGTTTTGTAGTCGATCGAGCGTTTGTTTCATGTGCAACTCTTTGCATGGTGTTTTAATTTTCCTCTTGCCCACTACTACCACTCCTCCCAACTTTGTTGTGAGCTATTACATTACAATTTTCCCCTGTTCCGCTCTCCCATTTTACGGATTACCTGGTGTTGCGTTTTTAATATAATATAACAATCTGAGGTTAAACGGACAAAGAGGCCCCTGCTGTGCACACCTGCGGAAACAAAGTAAGTACCTTATCAGTATTATTCAGAAATTTGACTTTTTCCTGTGGTAATCGTGAAAAAAAAAAAAAGAAATGTGTTTTTTTATGTGTGTGCTCGCCCAAAAGCGAGCACATGCATTCTTTTAACGTTCTCTGTTGCGCTTATTGCAAGACGCTGTCAGCGGCGTTGTATTATCTATACAGCCTTTGAACTTGCGTTTTCTCTTCTTTTTTTGTATCTCTGTACTTTGTATTCAAGTATATCAATCCACAAGTGCTAGCTGGGTCATTTATTTTAACCAGGCGAGTGGGATGTTCCGAGGAACATTCTAGGCGCGTCTCATCGATGTAGCTAATCTAATAAGAAAGTTACGAATAAAAAGTTTACGTGTAAGGCTTCATTCTGTGGTGTTGTGATTTGGCATATGCTCGTATAAAGAAAACTACGATAGTTAGAAGGTTCTAATTCGCAGCGAATGATCGCGCTCTGAATTTAGACGCACTGTTAAATTTTCATCGCTCCAGCTCGTCTAGAACTCGTTATACTCGCGAAAACAGGTTTTTGGGAATCTGCTTGGAGATTAAAAACCCCGACCAAGTTCAATCGTTCACCCGTGAATATTCAAGACCGCTGGAGTGCATTCATCGATTGTGGTCGTGAAAACAACATCATATGAAAGTGTGTGTGCAGTGAAACCGTGTCAGCTCATCTCAAGTTTCGCGAAATAAACGACGTTTGAAAGTTTTCGGATCGAAGCCAGCCATTCGCATTCCTCACTTTAGGCACCGATCCTTTCTTCGATCTCGCTTCATTAATACTCGTCGTATCTCGTCACCGCTAGCACCGATGTGTTCCTTGGTCTTTCTAGACTCTACGGACACCACTTTGAACGTGTGTAATAAAAGGTTTCGCGATGCTACGACGCTCTTGCCGTGGGCATGGTCATGGCGGCCAATTGTACTTTCCGAACATGTGTTCGGACCTCCGAGACTGAATTTTCGTTTCCGAGCCGCGATGTTGGTGTCAAACGTGAGCACGCGTTCCGTAGAAGACCCGACGACTGTAGTTTGCCTCGGATCGAGTCGATAGTTTAATCTACGAGCACTGATGCGACTTCCCGCACGAAAGCAGTCATTTTCAGGTTCGATATTGCTCACCGCTTCACCATTTGCTACCACAATTTGCTTTTTTGTTCTGAAGCGCTCCCTCGGGTAAAAGGAACGTTCGCTATGCGCGCGAGATTATTTTAATTCATTCATCTCGTGCGGCGCGCGCTCGGCGGAGCCGCTAGTCGTTTGAAGGCTCACCAGAGCGCGAGCAAGACTTCAAAGAGCTGCCGCTCGCTCGTAATTAGAAAACCATTATAGGTACGTACAACTATCAACTTGTTGGGAAGGGACAAATACACATATGTGCTGCAAGAGGGCCTCCACACAACCCTACAGAGCTTTTTGCAGACATGCCCCTACAGTACAACTGGCCCGACACTTTCTATTTTGTCCCCTTCTGCACTTTCTGGCGCAAGATGAGCTAAAGTGAAGCACGAGTAACCTTCTAGGTTGCTATCTGTTCAGTTTGAACCCTCAAGCTACGTCCCTCTTCCCTCGACGGCCAAAATTTGAACGCAGGCATGGTTACTGCGGAATACAAAAAGTCTGCCTTTTGTCTCCGAGGGACGTTCATTCTGTGTTATGGTCGTCTTTTCCAGAGACGGTGAGGACAAATACACATCTGTGCTGCAAGAGGGCCTCCACACAACCCTACGGAGCTTTTTGTAGACATGCCCCTACAGTACAACTGGCCCCACACTTTCTATTCTGTCCCCTTCTGCACTTTCTGGCGCAAGATGAGCTAAACTGAAGCACGAGTAACCTTCTAGCTTGCTACCTGTTCAGTTTGAACCCTCAAGCTACGTCCCTTTTCCCTTGACGGCCAAAATTTGAACGCAGGCGTTGTTTCTGTCTGAAAGCAAAAGTCTGCCATTTGTCTCCGAGGGACGTCCATTCTGTGTTACGGTGGTCACTTTGCACAGCCAGGATAACGCTGTCTGCAGTCGTGCTGGGACGTCCTTGCTGCGGCTTGGCCGACACATTTGTTTTCTCGGCTTCCGTACTTTCCCACGTCGGCTTGTTTCAAGTCCAGCTACAGCATTCTTGTCGAATGGTACCTGTGAATTCTGAAGGCTTGATGTCGACCTGTATTCTCTGCACAGCCCCCTACGGGGTTCTGCAGAAAGCCCTGTCTTAGTAAATCACGTAGGTTTTCAATGAAGTGTGTCTCCACATCTTACGGGGGTGGGCAAGCAACACCGAGGACACAGTCTTCTTGTCTGCAGTGCCTCTTTATTCTCAGACACTACAAAACCCCACGCCACTGTTCAAAGGCTCGAAAAATCAGGACTACCTTCAGCTTTTGCGTTCGTACATAAACTTTGACACCAGCTGTGTTAACCAACCTGGGCTCGTTCATTACAGGAGGAAAGCAAGCACTCGTATCAAAAATGAATCGTCGCTCTAGCACTCTTCGTCCCATCGTCCCATCTCCATGAATCGTCCCATCTCCATGACTTGCACGGCCTGTAAATTACTAGAACATATCATAACCAAACAACTCGTTTCTTTCTTAGAAATGCATAATGTTCTAAACCCCAACCAACATGGTTTCCGCAGTGGCCTGTCAACGGTAACCCAGTTGATTGAATTTTACCATGAATTAGCCACTTACGTTAACAACCGTACGCAGGTTGATGCAGTTTTCATCGACCTGTCGAAGGCATTCGACCGGGTACCTCACCGCAGACTGATTAAGACATTAATAGATCTCGGAGTTCCCTTTTCTTTGACTAAGTGGATCAATGCATATCTTTCAAACCGTCAACAATTTGTGGATATAAATGGTACTTACTCAGGGCTGTTAGATGTTCATTCTGGGGTGCCCCAAGGTTCTGTCTTAGGGCCCCTACTTTTTTTAACTTACGTTAACAGTTTGTTCCCATCCAATGAAGATGTCCCAATTAAGCTAAGAATGTTTGCCGACGACTGCGTCATTTACAGTCCCGTTGTTGAAATACAAGACCAGACAAAAGTGAGTAAAGCACTGGCTAACATTGCGTCTTGGTGTCGTGAAAATAACATGAAGATTAATATTAGCAAAACTCAGTACATGCACATAACAACAAAAAGAACTGTCTTAAACTTTAGCTATGAGGTTGCTGGCGTAGTATTGACTGAAGTGGATAGTTACAAATATTTAGGAGTGATTTTGTCTTCTGACCTCGGGTGGAAAAGGCATGTGGAGTATGTTAAAGAGCGGGCAACTAACAAATTGTGGTACCTGAAGAGAACGCTGGGTAAAACTCCCCCTTCCGTTAAAATTCTTGCGTATAAGACAATTATTAGACCTGTGTTAGAATACGCGTCTGCAGTGTGGAGCCCATGGCAGAGCTCTCTGGTCAGAGAACTCGAAGATATTCAGTCGCTAGCTGTGCGTATAGTTTTTTCAGATTTCAGACGAACTACGTCTGTGACCGAACTTAAAAGGAGAGCCAATATAAGCCCTCTGTCAAACAGAAGAGAGAGCCAACGGTTGAAGCTGTTCTTTCAGATTTTCAAGAACTGTATAAAAATTGATGGCTCCGTTTACTTAAAACCAAAAAGTTTTTACTCGGAACGCTTGCATCACTCAAAGACCGTAGCCCCCTATTAAAGCTCGAATAAATAGCTATAAACAATCTTTTTTTGTGCATACAATTGATTTGTGGAACAGCCTTCCCGGCGATGTTGTCGATATTGATTCACTCTGTTCTTTCGAAAAAGCCGTAGATAATATTTTTCAGTGCCGAGATTGCTTTTATTGCTCTTATGAAATTATTTTACTGTCTTTATTTTTTATTACTGCTGTTACATTTACTGCTATACTGTTATTGTTATTACTAGTATTACATTTGGTTACTGTATTGTTTCTCTTCTTTCGAATATGTCGTAGATATTAATTTTCGGTGCCAAGATTGCTTTTTGTTTAGAACTGTTGTGTTTATAATGTGCATGTGTGACACTGTATCACCCCACTCCTGCCTTGGCCCTATATTGGGCTGGCAGTATTGATAAATAATAATAAAAAAAAAAAAAAAAAAACATGCCAAAATTAATGTGCTTTTCTGGTTCAATTATGAAATAATCGCAATAGAACCATTTGTATTTACTGTGCAGGCGGTTTCTTTAATGCAACTTCTCAATTACCTAAAAGAAATGGTAATCTGAAGAGTCATCTTTTTTCACTAAAAAAAACAACAAAAA